TATTGGTTATACATTAACATTTACGAGGTATGCACACTTTCCTTATTGATAACCATACATACACACTCATATCGTACAGTTTCATCCACAGCCTCATTAATTGTCGAGCAATCTACAGTGTGCCGGTATCAAAACAAGCCTGACAAAATTTTTTGGGTTTTTGTGATGTCTATTTATATTAGGTTTATATAAGAAGAAGATGGATAGAATTAATATAGTTAAGGGTCTAGACAAATAAGCTTACCCGATCAAAAATGAGTAGGTGGCTGCCTAACAAAATTATTCGGCCCGACTACTGTTTGCCGAACAATATTGCTGTCGGCCCGGATTCAAGGCATGGGCACATTTGACATGTGACCAGAACAGTGTGGCAGCCGAAGGTGGCCCTAACTGCCCAGCGCCGTTTGCCCCCAAATTAAATAAATGTATAATGTTAAATTTGTGCGTGCAACGAAAAAGTTGGAGCATAAAAATAAGTAAAAAAATTAAGCAAAATAATTCACAGTAACTGTTATATATTTTACATTATTTTAGTGCCGTATCATATGACTAATAAAATATTTTGTCAGAAAATAGTAATTCTGGTGGTAAACCGCAATGCTTGTAAAAAAGGTTAAGTACCTAATCAATTGCACTAAAACGTTTGTTTAGTAACTTATGAAATTATATTAATCATGGATTACCAAAAATTAAGACGCATAAATCGAAAAAAGTTGCAGATGCGAAATTATCGGAAAAAAAGTTGAGTACGAACCAAATTTAAGTGTCATATCAAACTAGACTAATTGTTAAAAGTGCATCTCGAACCTTCACAGTGAATCGTTTTGTTTTGTTAAAAATATGACGTCAGAGAAAAACGTGCACTCGTAGATAACATTATTAACGATAATTTGACACCTCTTACAAAGAAACTCACTTGACGCCACGTTACGATGTTGAAGTTAAGGTCTCATGAAAAAAGTACTCCAAAGCACACCGTATGAAAAAAAAATGTATGAGTGATCAGTAAGTATATGGCTGCTTAAGATCGTGTTAGCTGTTCGGAGCAGTGAGTTGTGTTAAAAAAGCGGGCACGCGGGAGAAAAAAACAGCTCCCGCCCGCTGGAAGTGTGACGCAGGCTATTCATTACATCGCGTGGTTTGTGAGTACCCGTAAGTACCTACGTGCCTAAAAAGTTTGTGCACATACAGATGGGTTCTGTTTTGCGTTAATGTGACTGCTGAAGAGCAGAGTTAATCGTTCAGTAGTACTAAAAAAATGACGTTTGGGAGCTGTGTTTGTTTTTGGGGGATCGAATTGATGACGAAAGTTCGATGCCTCAATCATAAAAATTCACTTGACGCCACATAACATGCATGTTAATGTAAAAGAAGGCTTGCCGTCCTGTACGTTTCTCCGTCGACGGCGTTAAATAATTGCGTATGAATTTTGCTTGCTATACTCAGTTCGGATTTTCTAAGTATTAGGAATTAATGAAAAATATGTAGTATCTACTGTACGTTATAATAACCACAATTTTTTACGTCATTAAAAAACAAGGTGAGGCAGTGAGGCAATGAAAAGCTTAAGGCAAGTGCGCCAAAAAAAAAGTTAGGATGATAGTACAGTTGTAGTAGAAGGACATGATTGTTTTGTTGGCAATCCATGACGTGGCAGGACGTGACTCCCCTTTGAATAATACCCTGTGTGATTATCTATATTGATACCATTTTTTAAAACTCATAGATTAAAAATTTATTAAGAATGAGTCATACAATTTGATATCACTCTGATTTTGCCTGCATGACTCATTAGAAAGTACACAGAAAGGGTAGTTATCACAATTCACATTATTTTGTATCATCAATTGTTAATAATTTATGTACAATTAATGTCTAATTACCTCCCTTCTGCGCATTTTTTGCACCCCTACCATAAATTAAAAGAATTTTTTCTGCGAGGGAATGTGTAATTCGAACCGACGAAATCGAACCCCCACCACTAACATGGTAACCGGGCACCTATTAGTTAAATTATTATTTTTGTTACTTCGTGCGCGATAGACTTAGTTAAGTCTGTATTCCCACTCCGAAGTCGGAATTCAGCGGTAGCAACTGACCGTCCACTTTGACTCCTCAGTCATTCCTTAGTGCTGTTATCGAGAGCCAGCTTGCAGTTGAATACTCCCTTATAAAAGAAACTACTCGGGAAATTAATTTTTTCGTTAAAAATTATTTTAAATTGTGCAATTCTTATGCTGTGTAACTTTAGAACTGAAATCATGGTGTGAAGTATGTGCGTGCATTATCGAATCGTAGCCATTGTCTGGCTTTTGAACACGTGCTTCCTAAAAAATTTTTTTCCACTTTTTTCTACGTTTTACGTTTAATATCAAATTGATATTTGTTATACAGTTATTATGCAATTGCGAATAGTTTTTACACTTTAATAATTTAACAAATAATTTTTACATTGTACACATCAAATTCCGCAATGAAACCCTATGAAAACTTCTACCGCGGATAGAATTGGTCATCATCGTTTATTCGTGTGTTTAAGATTACAGATAGACGGACAGGAAGTGTCTTAAACGACATTAGTAAAAGCAGTGGTGGCAAGTAAAGCAGTGGATGCTCCAGAAGCAGTGCCGTTGCGACAAGTAACGACCAGCAAGTTAATGTGACTGCTGGAGAGCAAAGTAAATCGTTAAATTTTGATAAAAATATGACGTCAGGAAAATAAGTGTACTCGTCAATCACATAATTAACGATAATTTGACGCCTCTTACAAAGAAACTCACTTGACGCCATGTTACGTCGTTAATGTTAACGTATCAAGAAAAAAAGTACTCCAAAGCTACACTGTATAAAGAAAAGTGTATAAGTAATAAGAAAGTATGGCATAAGATCGTGGTGGCTGTAAAGAAGAGTAAGAAGAGTTAAAAACTTGTCCTCACACGGTAGACAAAAATAGTTCCTGCCCACTGAAAGTGTGACGCAGGCTGTTCGTTACATCGCGTGTTTTGTGAGTACCCGTGAGTACCGCCGTGCCTCGAACCCTGTGCACCTACAGATGGGTTGCGTTGTGTGTTGATCTGACTGCTAGAGAGCAGAGTGAATCGTTTAGTTGTGCTAAAAAAATGACGTTCGAGAGCTGTGTCTGTTTTCGGGGGATCAAATTATTGACGATAGTTAGATGCCTCAATCATAAAAATTTACTTGACGCCACGTTACACGTTAATGTAAAAGGAGGTTTGCCGTCCTGTACTTTTCTCCGTCGGGGGCGTTAAATAATTGCGTATAAATTATGCTTGCTATACGCAGTTCGGATTCTCTAAGTATTGGGAATTAACGAATAATATGTAGTATCTACTGTAAGTGATAATAACCACAAATTTTCATCACATAAAAAAACAAGGTGAGGCAGCGAGACAATAAAAAGTTTAAGGCAAGTGCACCGAAAGAAAAAAATTAGGATCATAGTACAAGTGTAATAGAAGGACATGACTGTCTTGTTGGCAATCCATGACGTAGGAGGACGCGACTCTCTTTTAA